TTGAAATTTGCGTCTTATAAATCAATGAAATGACAACTGAATTTCCATTCGTTTCATTCTTGAAGGCCTACATTATCTGGCAGGGCCTCAAGTCTAAGAAAACATTTGTTGCCTTGGAGGTATGGTATTACTTCGTGAAATGGGCAAACTAGGTTAATGATATACCTATCTCTTGTATAAATTGAGACAATACAATTTAAATGTCCTAAATTTTTAACCAAATTTCTTTTACACTGGACCATCAATCACGGATTTGATCATACTGTCTGTATACTTATCGTTCCCATGCATGCTTTGAAAATGATCATTTTGCGTCCTGTGATATGAAAGCCTCTTTGATGGTCAATCGGATTCATTACTTTAATTCTAATAAATATCAGGGTTTTCTACTTATAAGTTCAATGTTTTAAGCATTATTTCATTCTGAGTCCAAAAGACAGTCCGGGAGAGATGTTGTCTGTTAACCAACACTTCTATACAAAAATCACAGATGTTACACTAAAACGTGGAACGTCAAAATATCCGCGGAGTCCGGAGGCGACAGTTGAGCTACAGACAACCTCAAAGATATCTTGAGAAAAGACATACTTTTTGGCGCTTTCGATAACCCCCCCTGATACACAGTAATCCTGTGAATATTCTATTAAACCGAGTCAGTAGCTTTCAAAATACAGTCCAACCTATGAGCCTGTTCTTAAGAGCAGTAATGACCAGATTTAAAGAATTTCTGAATTGTAAAGCTAGGGCTCCTCCTGAGATCAACCGCAAAGAAACAACCTCGCTGTCCCAGAAGACCTGTTTTTCCAAATCCAGTCAATTAAATTGCATATACGTCTTTCCTGAAATGCCTGTTGAAAAGACGTCGACGTGTTCTGGTCTAAGATGCGACATAATGCACGGTTTACCTGGTCAAGGTTGAAGCTATTAAAAGTGGTCTGAACAAAGAAAAAATAGATCTAATCGGAAATCCGATCAGTTGAATTAGGCACCACACCAGCAAGGCAGGAACTGCTGTTGAGAGACATTTTGCTGCAGTGACATTTCGTGCGTTCTGGTAACAGAAGCGCTTTCATGCAGTGCTTTGGGCAGTGGGATTTAAACTAATGGAGTCGACAAAAAAATTGAACGAAGTTAATCTGTCGCAGCTACCGCAATAGAGCTATTATTTGGTGATAAAGAGTTTAGTGTCAAAGCCAAAGTAAACGGATTCAGAAAAAACTAACCTCCAAAGATTGCTGCGACAAAAGCCCCGAGTAAGAGCAGTAGGATGAAGCGATTCATGCTGATGGCTTCGTTTGGGACGTATCTAGCTCTGTAAGACTGTTTGCCTCGTGAAAGCGGTTCCACTTGCCGACAGTGAGGGATGTCAATGTCGAATAACCAAAAGCGAAATCGCACTGCGCGTTTATAAGTCATTTCTGACCTGTAGCTGGGACTATGGAAAACATGTCGTTTGTCACATAACCTCATTATATTGGTCCAATCATTTGTGAAAACCTTGTTGATGAGACAACTGCCAGCATGTTTTCCAGTCGAAATTACCCGCCAACTGTTAATTAAAAACAACAAAGAAGAAATTGTAGCTTTTTTTTGGTTTTGGTTTTTTTATTTTTTTTATTTTTGGGGGGTTCGTGATCAAATTCGAAATTTCAAATAAGAATGTGCTTGAGGTTTTCAATAGCATGTGGTTAGGCTTATAAATGCAGTTGGGGAACTCAATTGCAGGCAAATGAACTTTATTTCACGTTAAGCTTTTCTTTTGCTGGAAAACGAATATACATTTTGTTCAATTGTGCGTGGATTCATTTCTGTCACGTACTAACTCAACGTCGATTTGTTTCAGTTTATAGAAAAGTTTGATACCAAACTTGGGTTGTATCATCTTGAACTAAACTTTGCGCCCTGCGAAGTATTGCCAAAGCAATTGTGTGGGTGTAACAACCGAAAAGGCTGATTTCAACCAGTCTACTTTACTATGACATTAAACTGCACCAAAAAGGTTTTGGACTTATGAATATTTATTTGCAGTACAGATAATAAACGTCCCTTCGTTTGCTTTTAGTTACATAAGGGAAGTCGGTGCCCCGACTAAAAACACAATTTTCTGATTTCCAACATTATTAGGGCCTAGCTTGTATTATAACATTGCACCAGACAGCACACAGTGTGGCATCATCAGTACACATCTCTATTCCGATGGTCCTCCCCGTTTTTTGTTTCTCTTGCTTTTTTTCTTTTCTTTCTCTTGTTCATTTTCATTTTTCCTTGGTATGTGAAGGAGAAGGGGTCCGCCTGTGACACCAGTGTATGGATATGACGTTGACATGGGTGCCGACACTGACAACTGCTGGTGTGATATTAGGTCTGGTCCTGGTCATTGCAAATCCCACAGGCTAGTTCTCTATTGGAATTGGATTCACATTCTATTACACATCCATTCTATAGACGAGTGCAATTCCATTCACGAGGTAATGCAGGCACTAATGTCTCCATTCATATTTCACCCGACAATTTCATTTTCTACCTGCTTTTTTTTTAAATCGAAATCACGCCCACTACCACGTCCTTCATCAGAAAGCAGGAGACCAATTATATGATGACTGTGTCTGACGCTGGTTCTCGGCTTGTGGGCGGGTGCTCGATTCACTTTTCCTGTTATTGTAATTATGGCTTATTAGTAACATTCCCTGACAATGTCAGTGACCCAAACCGACTGCTTTGAATTGAGCAGAATACAGTACTGTGCCCGTATAACTGTCACGGTGGCTTTCATATGTAAAGCTTACAAATGGGTGGCAACTATGACAACCAAGCTTCTTCTTAATCATCAGCTCTTTTATGGTTAAAATTTACATTTTTCGCCATTAGTTCTTATATTTTTTTTTATGAATGAGCACATTCGGAACGAAGGTTCGCCCGGCCTAAGGGATACAAAATGTGCCAGTATAGCTTACTATTAATCCTGTGCATCGAGGCCAAGAGCGGATCACGAATCAAATTGTCGGTGGATGGGTGGGGGGAACTTGTTTTGGAGGGGGGGAATAAGATAAACCCCTCCCCCCCAAAAAAATTGCCTTTATCTCCTTATTTTTAAAACATCTTTAAGAGAACTGTTTGTAGGGGACATGGCCCTGTTGTAAGGCGAAATAGACATATTTGGGTACCGAAGTAGTTGGAAAACCTCTAGCAATCCTCCCTCTTTGTGTCAATGACCAGTATGCGAGAAAGAGTCCCTACAGATTCGGAATAAATTACCAAGTTTTTAATTTTCAGACAAAATACAGCAGAAACTCGCATCCATCCTCCATAACAACCAAATTTAAATATTTCATAATTCAATGAACAAACACCCATAAACCAGATTATTCTGAGAAATATAAAGGCAAAAAAAGGCCGTTTTCCTTTAGCTGTGCTCCAAAACCTCTTCCCACCGGCATCCCTCGTGGCAACATTCGTCATGGAGTCCTGGCTTGTGGAAGTGTTCGGTTTTCAAGAAGTTGTTGGCTTAGTTTTTTCCTACTTCAAGATATTTTTGTTTTTCAAACTCACCTGCTTGCCCAAAGCACATGTAAATCCTAGGCCTGTCTTCTTGTGAATCTTGTAATAACATGTAACACAGATGGATTAAATGCATGTGCTGCCTGCCATACCGGGCAAAAAGTGAGGCTCCCAAGTGTTTATGAATGAGAAATAAAACAGTTGAAAAGGAAAATTTATTTCAATTTTATTGCGTCTTTAGGTTGCATTGATTGCATGCAATATGCAGGTCACGACATTCAGAGCAGGTCAAAAAGTAAACACATCATTGAACAATTCAAACTGCAAAGTAACAACAAAAAACAATGCTAAATTCCAGGACCATTCTGTCAAACTAACGCATACATATGGTTCTGTAGTTTATAGCCCATCTTCACAGTTTTATGTCGATGTACAGAGATGATTTCTATCCATTTAGTTACAAATGTGGTCTTGGTCTCGGACGGCTGGTCTTGGTCTTTGGTTACTTTGTCTGGCCTGGTCTTGGTCTGTTGGTCTCGGTCTCAGTCTTGGTCTCGGACTGTTTGGTCATGACTACAAAACTGGCCCTTATATGCCCACCCTACTAGTAAAATCCTAGCTACGCCACTGAACTACAGGAGTTCAAAAAATCTACTCTAAAATGAAATCCGATCAATTAATTACACGCCACACCTGCAAGGCAGGTACTGCTGTTGAGAAACGTTTGCTGCATGAAATTGTGCGCGCTCTGGTATCAGAAGCGTTTTTACAGTAAATCTATGGTGTCCAACTTCAACACTAACGCAGAAGAAAGAAAAAAAAACATTTTATATTTAAGTATGATGTAGGCCTAGCTACTGTTATTTTATATACATATAAAGACATTTGTGCTTTGTGGTCCTGTGCGATTAAGTATTTAGCGTCAAAGACAAACGGGGTTAACGGCGACAAACGGCGACACAAGCCCCGAGTAAGAGCCATAACAGTAAATCATTTCTGACCTGTAGCTGGGACTATGGAAAACGTGGTCGTTTTTGAGATGATCTTTATTGGATTCGATCCAATAAATTCGATTTATTTTTTCGATTCGATTTATTGAAAACCTTGTTGAGACTAATTTTTGCATTTATTTTCCGGGTAAAGGGTAAACGAATCCTGTACTTTTAATTGCAAAACTATACGATTTCAGCATCCATTTGCCATGATAATCGAATTTGACACTTATGAAAGGCGTGCTCAAGATGGCATGTTGTTACGCTAGAACATTTTTCGAACTAAATATCAGACACTTGAACTGAAGTGCATTTTATTTCACTGTTTAGCTCTTCTCATTTCACAAGGAATTATAAATTGGGCGGCCCCGGTACTCATCGCTGGAATACGGGTACAGTGTGTATACATTTTGTTTAATTGGACATGGATTCGTTTCTGTCATTTAACACGGATACCATCATCTTGACTATTTGATGTGCTCTGTTATGCTTTGCGTAGCGATATAAGCCCTTAATGCCACGTAACGAACAAAACATTGACCAATCTACATACCTCACTACGAACTCAAAATCCAAACTGGAAAAAAAATTATTTTTTTAAAAATTTTGTGGGCCTGTGTATTTATATTAGGAGCACATGTAATAAACACACCTCCCATTTCTGGGGCGGATATAGACTTTTTTCCCGGGGGTGGGAATATATTGTTCGTACAAGGGGGTATTGACATGTGGCTGTCAAACCATGCACGAAAAGCCAATATTAGATAACTGTATGGCCAAATTTCGGCAATTTCGCTAGCCGCACCTATGCACCAATTCTTAAACCGGCCGGTTCACTACAAACAGTATACAAAGTTCGTCGACGGGGTTGACGAGTTATAACCTGTAACAACACGGGTCAGATCACTGCGTTGTATCAGAGACAGAGCCTGTGCTACAATCAACATTCAGTTTGGTCACATTATAGTTCGGGGTTTTCCTTTTAACTGTCCTCTTAACTGTTACCCTATTTTCCAGACTCAATCTAAGCCATGGTTGTCTCATATAGGCCTACCCACGCTTTGTTTAGGACCTAATGTTCGCATAAATTTCCTACGTTATGAGCAAAGGCTCACGCTTCTACGGTCTTTATCCTAGCACACTTGTGACCTACACGTTGAAAAAAAATTTGCAGAGGTTACGAAAACCACTCGAAATTTAATTTGTTGGTAGAGAGAAGGCATATTGCAGTGGATAACTTTCAGTGTGGCGTTTAATTTGTTGTTTAAACTTTGACGAGTTTTCTTCGTATCGGAATGTTATGTAATTTATATATTTTTTTGTTTACGGTGATCCACATCAAATGATGGAAGTTAGACATTACTCGTTTGATACCACTATAATGACTTTCAGGACGAGCGGGTTTGTCTTTGCGATTTTCAATTTTGGGCAAGGTCTTTCTCTAAACTTAAAATTTGCTTATCGACTTGATTAAAGCATCTCTAGTGTTTGCCAATCCTATCATCGAGACAAATACTTGATTCACGGTGTCTTCTTAACTGACTAACAATATTGTACAAGTATCGTCAGGACGTTTTCCGGGGACGGGGGGGGGCGTGCATGGTAAAGCGCTTATTATCAACAAACTGGAAAATAACGGCATTAATGTTGGAAAAGAGTTAATTCCAACGTATTTGAACTCAAATTGGTGATTTTCATCTATATCCCCAAGGGCAGATCCAGGGGTCAGGCTGGGGATGATGTATAATGCCTCCTTTTTGCGGACAAGCGGAAACGACAATGAAACATTACATGACATACATTAATTACAATGGTATTGGTGCACTTACTGTAGTTTTTTACACTATTTTCCTCCCCCTCCCCTTTTAGGGGTGGGGTGAGGGGCTTCGACTCGCCCCGGATCTGCGCCTGATCCCTTGCCTCCTTTGTTTCTCTTTCTTTTGACTTTTCTTTACTTCTTCCTTCTCCTTATTTTTCAAAATTTGTTGGTTGGGGGGGGATACCCTCTTCCTGACAGTCGTGCGTATATTTGGAAAATGCTGAAGAGTAACTTCAGTAAGTTAATTTTCACGGTCGGTTTCACACCGTGCTGATGCAGCTTGGATGGCTTTATTGTCTCAGGGCGTGGAGGGCGCTCTTTGACGAGTACACGCGCGCGCCATGGATCTGTTGTGCTCCGTGGCCCTTGAAAATTGAACTCGAGTATTATTTTGTGTTCTGGTAAGTCATCTGTTCATGTCTGTTCTTGGTTTGTTGAATGAAGTAAAGTACAGCATGAATTTCTTTTGCTCGCTACCATGCCGCAATAGGCCCAGGCCTACTCATAATTCGTATTCCTTCCTCCACGTTTTGAGTAAGAAGGCTTACCCGTGATGATGACCAATGGGATCAGGTCAACTCGGACCCAAACCAACTCGGACCCATTCCAACTCGGACCCATGCCAACTCGGACCCATGCCAACTCGGACCCAGGACCAACTCGGACCCACGCCAACTCGGACCCAATACCAACTTGGACCCATGACCATCTCGGACCCACAACCAACTTGGAC